GCCAGCCCGTACACCTGCGCCAGGCGGTACAGCTCCAGGCAGTTGGTGAGCCGCACCCGGGAGAGCAGCAGCCGCAGCAGGGACGTGACCTGCAGGAAGGAGGCCGCCTCCACCAGCTCGGCCAGCAGGCCCGCCTCGTCCAGCTCGTCCTCCTCCTCCTCCACGCCGCCGCCCTGCTCCCCGCGCGGGCCCAGCAGCCAGCCCTCGCGCGCGCCGCCGGCGTTGATGAAGTCCAGCACCAGGCGCAGGCCCGGGGCGCTGAGGCCGCGCAGCTGCTGCACTTCGGGGCCGCCGGCCTCCGGGCGCAGGGCCTCGCGCATGCCGGAGCGGTAGAGCGCGCGGAAGTAGTCGCTCTGCTCGATGAGCTTCCTCTTGCTCACCGGGTAGCAGCGGTCCTCCAGGCGGATCTGCACTACCTCCTCGGCCGACATGGCCGGGGGGCCGGGGGCCGCGGGCGACCCCGCCAGCGCGGCGCGCTCGCCGCCACGCGCCCGCCGCGTCCCGGGCCGCGCGCGCGAGGGCCGGCGCCGCGGGGGTGAGCGGGGAGGCGCCGGGGGGCCCGGCGGCAGGCGGGGGAGAGGAGCCCGGCCCGGCCGCAGCCTCCGCCCGCGGGCCCTGCGCCCGGGATCCGACCCTCGCGGCGGGCGAGACGGCGGCCGCGCCCCCGCCTCCCCCGCACGCGGGCGCCGCGCTCTGCGGTCAACCGGCCGGGCCGCGGCTCGGGGCGGGCGCCGGCAGGCGGGGTGGGGCGCGCGGCCGCGGCTCTGCGCTGCGGGGGGAAGGGCCGGCGGCCGGGCCGGCGCGGGCGGGGAGGCGGCGCGCCTGGGGCCGCGCGTCGGGCCCCATCGGGCCTCGCGTCCCGGGGCTGGGGCGCCCGGCGGACCCGGGGCGGCCGGGTGGCGGGCGCCGCGGGGGAGCCATGTCGCAGAGGGAGCCGGGCGGACGGCGGCGGGGCGCTGCGGGCCGTGACCCGCGCTGGGCTAGAAACGGACAAGTGCAGCTCCCAGACGGGGGGGGCCACGTGCCTTAAAGTGTTCCCCAACACCCAAGGCTGCCCCTACTTCAGTGTGGTCGGGCTGGCCGTGACCCAGGCTTATCTTGTGGCCCTCCGTGCCCCTTCTTGCTCCTAGAGGCGGCTTCCCCGGGCCCTCTCCTCCTCCCCCCGGCCCCCGGCCCGCCCCGCCGCCCGAGAACTCCCTAAGGAAGGCCCCGCTTCTCCCCCACCTTCTCCCACTGAACGCCGCAAACAGGAAGCTCACCCAGATCATTGGGCCTCTGTGTCGCCCGTGAGAAATTAATTACCCCTGGCGGGGGTGGGGTGGGGGTGCCGTTAGGTCAGCTTCGGGTAGACGGAGGCCTAAGGGTTGAGAGGAAGCAGGTGTGGGGGGGGCGGGGTTCACTCTTACCTACAGAAAAAAAAAACTTGAAAACTTTCCCAGCCCAAGATTGGAGAACCAACTGTAATCGTCCTCACCGTGGGGAGGCTCTGTGTTGGGACTTGTTTTTATTCTGGCAAGCTTCAGCTTTCTTCCTGAATGAGGCAGGTTAACTGTTACCTTTTTCAAAGATACACTTCCCCTAATTCAAGCAAAAGGTACCTGCCTCCTGACCGTGCTGATCATTATATGTTAGGAAGGTGGGAGAGTTAAAAACCAGAGAAAAGAGACATATCCCTAAAAGATTAAACCCTTTCAACACATAGTTTGGTTACATTTGTGCTTCTTACTACATAACGTAGTTCCTGCATCAAGTGAGGTGTTGTGAATATTTTCTTTACAACACACCATGAATAAGGAGCTAACATTTTAAATACATAGAAAAAAATTCTAGTAGATCCTGGCCTACCTGAGGAAAGCAAAGGAGAGAAAGTGGATGTGATGGGCCTCACTCAGTTACTGGGTTCTGTGAAAAACTTTAGCTTTTCACCTTGTTTCACCTGGCCTTTAAGTCATTACTGATAACTCCATTCTCACACCAATCTCTCACTTCGGTTCTCAGTGAGGGTGCAACCAAGGTGTTTGAAGGTTCTGGGGCAGGGTGGGGGGCCTTGAACCTAGCATCCCTTTGAGGAAGGTAATGTGCCACCTCCAGGATTAGGCAGTAGCTGAGGAAGCTTTGCTGGGAGGCACGCCGTCTATCAAAGAGGCTTGGAATTGGGATTTGTTTGTGCCTCCATCAGATTCATCGGGTCAGCCGAGAACAGGCTCCTAGTCTCTGCTCGGTGTCTTTAGAATCTCTCACCAATGGTTGCTTTTGTTTCCCAACTGTCATTGATATGCCTCAGACTGGTATTTTATTGCCTTTCAAAAACAGACCCAAAAAAATGACACTCAAAGAATGATGTGCATTAGAAAGGCTATTCATGGTCAGTAATATTATCAGAGCAAGATCAGCCTGGACGGGGAATCTACGGTGTTGGTTTGACGATACCGGGCACTGACTGATCCTGTAAGCATTTCGGCCCCGACAGGGTAATAACGTCAGTTAGGATTGGAAGCATCTTAAAAGGGCAAATCATTTTGATAACTCACACAGGAAGCTTTCTGTTAAACTAGCACTACAAAGTCAAAGGAATATATACTCTTTTATTTACAAAAGACCTAAAATTATTTGTAAGCTTCATGAAAATATTGCTTCTATATAACTGGAGGTATAATTTTATAGATCAGTTATTGACTGATCAAGGAACAATTAAGACTGGTCTTTGTGGCACTGTGATTCACTTTAAGCACTTGATGTCATGATGTTTTACAGAAGATTAGAGTAATGGACAACACAGAGTTAAGCTATTTATTTAATAATTTATGGGAACTATACCTAGAATTAACCTAGAATGGAAAAAAAAAATCTAAGTACAAGATGTTTATCATAGCGCTGCTTGGTATAAAAAGAAATTGGAAACATAATACATAATAATAGTAGCTAACATTTATTGAATGTTTATTATAATGTGCCAGGCACTGTTGTGTTTTCCATGGATTACAGTACTGTTTTTGTACTATTTTACAGCTAAAGAAGCTGCGGTGCAGAGTAAATTTTGGTACATACAGAATGAAATACCACAGAGTCATTACAACTGTGGATGTAGATTTTTCTTTACAAACACTGAAAAATGTAATTTGGCACTGAAGTTTTAAAAAATTGTTTCTAAAACAGTATAAATCCATATGTAAAATTATATATGTATATCTTTTTAGAGATGTTCAGGAGGATGTTAAAATGTTAAGATTGTAAGATCTTGAATCATTTTTATTTTGTACTTCTCTGTATGGTTTGGATTTTTTAAGTGAATGTATATCAGTTTAATAAAAGCAAAATATTTAAAGAAAACAATGACATTCAAATTTCTCAGACCCCATTTTTAAAAACAATTTCCATCGATTTCATCAACTGGTGAATTACTATACACCATCTTTAAAATAAAGATGAATGTTATTGTTTTACAAAACACTTTGAATTCAGTAAATGTCCTATCATTTCACTACCAATTCACTATTTTAATTTAAAATAAATTAAAAATTATTTATCTGTTTTTCAGTCCCTCCACTATTCCTAACACAACTATATTTCTTTTTTTAACAGGCAAAACTGAAATATCGTCCTTTCATTAAATCATGTGGGGCAATTTAAATAAAGGGTTCTATTTAATAATATAGATTGAGCACCTTCGTGTAGGCAAACTTCCATTTATTTCAGTCAGTGTTATAGCAGTGTTTTCCAAACCTTGTAGGAACTCACCTGGGACACTTTTAAAAGTAAGATTCTGGTGCCCACACTATAATCAGTTGTTAAGGGAAGATGAGTGTTTTTTAAGGTAGGTATCCAATTTTTGAACCCCTCTCAAGAGTGCCCAGTTAGAAGTAAGTACAACATATGGCATTGCAATAGTGTAATGGTTCTGGGTATTTTCATAAATTTGTACAAAGGCTAGATAGTAGTTTTTTATTCAGTTACAGTTGCTTGCTGGTTTCTGCAATTTCATGTCACATGGACATGTTTTGAGACTAGATGCTTTAGAGCCACATATCTCAGCCCATAGAGGATTCCTTCCTCTGCCCCTGCAGTCCAATTTTTATCCTCCTTTTCAAAACACTTGGCTCCCAGAAGTTACCCGTTTCCAGACATAATGTTTATGCAATCATAAAAAAATGTCCTTTTAAAAATTTAAAGCACGCTTTTTTACCTTGGAACTTGTAGATTCTTTAAAAAGCAACTTTGATCTCCACTTGACATCATTTGCCAGCAAAAGGATTAAACAATTGTGGATTGTTCCATTATCCCTGTAGGGAAAATGAAAACTTCAAGAAATTATGTATCACACAAAAGAAACTACAGTTAATGTGGCTGAAAGATGTGGAGGTTAGAAGGTAAGAAAGTAGACTTTCCAGTTTATGTCCCCAGGGCACATACCAAGCGAAATAGCTATGGAATCTCAAGCCAAACAAGAAGTGGTCTTTCATTCTTCATCTGTCCCTTGCTCTTCTACTAAGAAATCTCTCTTACCTTTCCCCTCAGAACAGATGGAACAGTTTGTCTGCAGGTAAGCAACTGAAACTTGCTTTCTATGAGAAGTTTATTAAAATAAAATATTTATCATGTTAGTGTATTTTATGTGGCTTATACAAAGTTAGGAGTTAATCCATGATACAATTTTTGCTTGGAAGAAGGTGAAATATTTCAATTTTAAAGTTACTCAATCTTTTGAATATTTTCCCTTTATTATCTATTATTAATATTATGTTTCTAAAACAAAAGATAAGTGATCATTAGGCTATTACCAGGGAACAGAAAGGAAAGTTCCAAGAATGTTAACATTTATGTGTCAAGTAAGTGAATGAGTCATTGCCCAAAAAGGTATGAAAGACAGATCACAGGCTAGAAAAAGTTTCACCTTTTTTTAAAAGAACAGTAGAGTACTTTATGGCACTGATGCTTTGTACAAAAATGGACAAGAAAAAGCAAGTTTTAAACTTTGAACAAATTTGCCATCTTGGATATCATGGATATAGAACACATTATCTTCACAAAAGTATAACAGGCTATTTTCCTTTAATACCTTTTCAAATGCTTTGGCATTGCAACTGAAGTAGTTTTATTACTATTTATAAAATTTAACCTATTTTGCCATTTCCCTAATGCACATTTCTTAGCAACTTCTTCTTCCATCAGGAACATTCTGTCTTTATGTATGTGCTTCGCAAAGAAATCCCCTTTATAACTTGCAAACATGGATATCAGAAAGCAGATTAGACAGCTCCCGATTTGAACTTCTTCCCAATTTTCACTGTAAATTACACTTTTTATTCTTGATTGAACAATATACCCCGTACTTGCTGGGTGTTGTATTCTGTCTACACTGGAGCATGTCCTCTTTTCATCTTTTAAAAAAGCTTGTGACTGGCCTTTTTGCAAAAAATGTCTGACCTCAAGAAGTGACCAGGTCCATAGCCAATGTTTTCAAAATCACTGCAAAATTCCATTTTTTAATTTTTTATTTCATTTTCAGTTTTCACTTACTTTCAACATGTCTTTTTCTTTAGTAAAAAGAAAAAAATGTAAACCAGCACACATACTGGTTTTCTAGTGAAGCTGAATACTAGAACTTAAATTCAAAGATGAAAATAGATGACTGAAAAAAGTCTGCTGTCCCGTGTTCCTTAAACACCGTCAGAAGTGCCCTTACAAAACGATGTCTTGTTTCTGGTGAAATGGATTCTTCCTTTATCTGATGTCAAGTGACTAAATTATTGTTTTCCTGAGACAGGCTCTTGGCTAGGATTTCCACCTGTCTTTATACTTACTTAGTGAAAGGTGTCTGTGACTATTCACTTTCACAGAAAGAAGAAAAGCAGAGGAGAGAATCCACATCTTCAAGAGGCTAAGTAAGGGACAGAGGATCAAGATGGCCTGGAAAATGTACACAATTAATGCCAGAAAGTCAAATGTTCACCTAGGGATCAACTGGGAAGAAACAAAGGAAAACTGAATGTGCAGTTAAGGAACAGCCTCGTTTTTTCTAGATGACCCTCCAGGAGTCTCAAAGAAGCTCTCCCTTAGCAACAGCCCTGAAGTTCCAGAAACTGTCCTCAGCCCCGATGGTCAGCTCCTGCTTCCACCTGAGAATCAGACTTCCTGCTGAGCCTTCACACCAGCAAAATGCATGTGGCTCTGGTGGCAGCAGATGTGACACTGCTCCTAAGCCTGGGGTGGACCTCAGACTGTCTCTGCTCACCCACCGTCTTTTACCGAGACTGCTGGATCCGTCGCTTCCCGGGTCTTCTGATTGACCTGGAGGAGTCCCAGAAGCTGGGAGCCCAGTTCCTGAAGTATTACGCTGAGAGCACGGGCCGGAAATGCAGCAGGAGCTGCTGCCTTCGCAAGGATGGTAAGTATTAATGATGTGCCTGAGCACAGATCGGGGGAAACTTCCAGAATGAAGACATCCTCAGAAAGGACTAGGGAAGACACGCTGGGATGAGGGAGATGGGGGGGACGCAGAGACTGACCGTGCAGACCGGGCCACGGCCGGCTGGGTTGGCAACGCTCGTAACGACCACAACGCTGTGGAACCTGCAGGTAACAGAATCCTCTTTTCTTCACTAAAGTGCTAAATAAAAATATTTCCTTGAGAGTTAACTATGGTATTTCTGTAGCCTAAAAATATGGCATATTTGATTTCCAAAATATTTATGGTAATTTCCTTTTCAAAGTCCTTTTGGTGATACTGGTATCACTTCAAGTTTTTGAAATGTGTGTCTTGTGTTGACCAAACGTAGGATGTTCCAACACGACTCGAGATTGTGATTGATGTTTGAAAAGAAATAGGGACGTATATGGCAACAGCAGAAAGAGAGAGAAAAAAACATATTTTCAAAATACCCTGACAGATTTTTTTTGTCTGAAACCTGGAATCAGGGTTAAATATCATCCATATAAGGTGATCAAGACTTGTAATTAGGAAACCATTTCACTGTTGCAGAATTTCAAGTTACAATTGTGTAACTTTTATCTAATTTCTAAATTAGATGTGTAATGTCTAAAAATTATCTAATTTCATTTGCCAACTTATTAATTGCCAATGCTTCCTATCCAATTATATATATATGAGATTTCTGGGATGCAAACTGAAGCTAACTGGAGAGTCTAAACTGACTGTCAAGAGACCACAGAGTGAGAAGCCATCTCAGGCTAAGCCCTCAAAAGTTCGTCAGGCACAGAAGACAGCAATTCATTTATTAAAGGGAAATCTTTTTGAAAAGTAGCCAATCCGGATTTTCACCTTAGAGATGGTTCTAACTCGTATGAGCCTTCCCTAGGAGGAGGTGGGCAATGGGCGACAGCTTTTCTGCACTTTCCCATGGCATCAATCTATCAGACTCCACGCCAGGAAGTGTTGATTCCCAGACTTCCGGGATACCGTGAGCATCTGGTAGAATTCCATGATTTTAGAGACTGTGTAGACTCCATGGTGTGGCTTTCTTCCTTCAGAAGAAAGAACAAGCACAAATCCCTGTTTTTTCTGCTGGAAACCAGAACTTTAAAAGCCACCATCCTGCAACAGTGAACCTGCTCAGAGCTGGGACTCTACATGAGAAGGAATGTAAAACACCTTGAAAACTTGTTCTCTATACCATAAACTATTTTCAGAAATTGAGACTTCTAAATTTGAATCTTTTTTATTCCTTTCTCTTAAATTTTATAGCTCAGTTCTCGAGCACATTTGTAATCTATAATGCAATAGCAATGTATTATTAATTAACTCTTGTCCTAGTCTTTCTCCTACAAGTGGGGAAACCATGGGATGTCCCAGAAGTCATGGGGGAGGTGCAACGCCCCGCAGTTCACCTTACACAGAAGCAGTCCAGAATTTGCCACAAGCAATCCCACAGCAGCTTCAGGCAAACTCTGAGGTCTGGTAATCAAATACTATCCCTCTGTAATCTTATTTTATTAAAGACATTGATACCTTTGGCCAGTGGGTATTTCCTATCGCATGGTTCCCACCACACTGCAGCAGGAGGGAATCTGTGCTGCACTTTAGAGGACGGACCGAAGATGGGCATTCAACAAATCTGACATACGGTTTTCCAGAGCCAACACAGTACATTTCAAGGAGCAAACTTAGAAATGGGGAGACGGCATCAGCAAGTGAGATACCCCTTGAATTCCAAGGGCTCGCAGTTTGCCCATCCACTCCCTTCCTCTTTAAATGACACTGATTAGGTTTCACTGCCTGTGGCTTTGCATCTTGGGGCCAGTGCGCACCTGCAGTCAGGGTCAAGGCAATGCTCCCCAGCCTCCTGCCTTTCCAGCAGCTGGGCCTCTCCGAGTAACGCAGACATCACTGTGTTTGCTCTTCCCGTTACCCTCCCATTACCCTCTCCTCTGTTACAGCATTTGTCACTTTCTTTCGCCCGTGAACTCCCAGTACCTGAGCATTCTGAGAGGGCATTGTACTCAGAAATCTGATCTAACAAATCCCCAGGGGCTTTGCAGCCAATTGAATTTTTCACAGACATAAAATCCTGGGATTGAGAAATGAGTCCAGGCTAATCCTGTGTGGGATGGAATGTGTGAAAGATCAGAGAAAAGCAGTAGGCATTTCTTTTAAAAAGGCATTTTCTATCTTTATAGAAACAGTTGCTGTGTAGTTTATAAGGTTCTGTAAAACGTCTGAACATGGCCCTGCAAAGTGCTGTTAATGCCGTGTTCTTGAAAGAAATGTTAAGTTACTCAGAGCTCGTGAAGCTCGCAGATATCAGGATCTTGTGCAGATTTTGGTTTGACTTTGTCAGAAATAGAGAACCAACAAATGTATGCCTGCTTCCCTTTCAGTGGCCTGTAACCTGGCTGTCTTCTACCATGACCCTGCTCATGACAATGTCAACTGCCTCCACGTTCACTGCCCAACACTGGAGAGCTGCATGTTAGAGCCCGGGACCGGTGCCATCTTATACAACATAACAGATGGTAGTGACTTATGTATTGTGTATGGATTTTGAAGAATGTTGATAATATTCTAGGAAAGACATATATAACCTAGAAACTGGCTGGCAATAGCCATGTATGACTCCCCAAATCAGTATTTCCCAGTGACCTCGGTCTGGAACAGTTTTGGGCATCCAGGGCAGAAAACTAAAAGGGAATTCCCTTCAGTCTGCAATGTCCAGCAACGATGAGTTCCTTCCAGATGGTGACATTCATACGTGATTGAACAAAAGCTTCAGCATGTTATTTCATTTATCCCAAGAGCCCTCAGGAAGAGCCAAAATAGGCATTTCTATTGCAGTGGCTGAGGGTGCCACGAGGAAATACAGAAAAAGCCTAAATGGCAACTTTGAGGTCCATTGACATTCCTCCCAAGGATTCTACAAAGATGGATGTCAGGGACAGGGAAATGCCACTTACTGACATACATGAGCATACCATTGGGCCCGAGATGACCAGTATATTTGATTCCAGAAAAATACATATTTAAGTGGTCTTTGCCCACGTATATAATCTCAGAGTACAAGTAAGTAAACATGAAAGAGTAGATTTTTGCCGTCAAAATACATAGGAGATAAATCCCTACCGATTTGTACTTATTGCACCAGGTTGTGCTCAGCCTTGCAGAAGACTGTAGCCATAGCTCTGCTCTCAAGTTCCTTATAATCTAGTTGATGTGACAAGACTCACTAGTGGAAGACATACAACTGAATACAAAAATGTACGATATTGCCGCAAGTTCAAGGGCTCAAAAGGAGGAGAGACTAAAGAAAACTAGATTAGTCAGAGGGCTTCCTGGAAGAGGCCAGGCAGAGGCAAGATACGGAGCTTTGTTATCACACCAGGAAAAGTAAGAAATCTGATCTGGCTGAATAAGGGCACATTTGGGACTGTGATGAAAGTATGCATAAGACAGGGTAGGCCAGGTGACAAAAGGGCTTTGATAGAGTAGGATTTTGGTTTGACTTAGTCAGAAATAGGGAACCAACAAATGTATTTAATGAGAAAATGCCATCATTAAAGTGATGAGTCTGGTTATCTTAGTCTAGGAAAATAATACGCAGATGCACTTTAGAAAATCTAGACAGGGAGATACTAGATTTGGGCAAGATGATCGTAGGGGCAACGCAAAGGAGGGATGACTACCAGAACAATGAGACAGGTCCACGGAGAGGGAAACCTGGCGATGCAGATGTCAGCGCCCTGACACCAGCTAGTGACTGGGGATAATTTCCTTAGGGGATGGAGGGAGGGATGAAGCGAAAATTCAGCAGAAGGTAAAGCGGGAGAGAGAGCGAGACTGATTGCTAGCAGGGATGACTGCAAAGCTGTTAAGAGTTGTTTTAAAGACATTTGCACATGCCTGAAGTCAGGACCAAAGGAATTTATTTGCCAGGAGAGAGGAAATGCTGGAGACAAAGCAAGGGCCCTCAGGGACTGGAAAGGGATGAAATTTAGGGCTGTGCTCACCATTTGGATACAGTTACACTTCTCAGGTTTAGCCTAGTTAGTGGAACTTTCTTTTAAGATGCTATGTCTCTCAAACGCTTATTGTTTTTGCAGGTCTTGTACTAACACTGCTGTTGTAGGGCAAGGCCCTGGAAGCCACAAAGTATTCTCCATGATGCAGCAAAATTTCTGTTCATAACAGAAAATGTCCTAGGAAGTTAAGATAAATTCAAATGTGGCCAGTGTGTTTCTAAGCCTATCAGAAGTAAGCAATAGTAGAACTTCAAACTGGCAGTTCAGTTTCAATAACTCAGTGGCAAAATCCAGGACTTCTCCAAATTGTTCTTTAAGGTCCCGTCCTTTCCTTTAAAAAATAAATAAATAAGTAACAGTGCCATAATTTATGTTTCAGGTATAGATCCAGATTTGCTGGTCTTTGGACAGTCTCCTCCCACATATTTAAATACCCGTTCATCTAACACACGCGACAGACTAAGAATTCTAAAAGCTACAAATGCAGATAAACAACAAACCACTGTGGTAAACCAAGTGCTGCCACCAGGAGCGGCTCCATCATCAACCACCCATCGAGACTGGCTTGTAAACACAAACAATACCAAGTATTCCGAGGAATTAACCGCAGAGTCCAAGGAATTCACCACAGATTCTTGGGCAAGATTCATTTCCCTGAATGAGTCCATTGCCACCAAGGTCAGTGAGATGTCCCTCAGTAATGATTTTACCAGCAGCCCAGATAACAAGACTATTTCTCCTTTCTTTGTGCCCACGGACACAAAACTTTTTCATATGCCTATTCCATCCCAGCTCAACAGTAGCAAACAAGTACCGAATAAAACCAAGAGGTACAACAGGAGAAACCACACGTCTGAGAATGAAGATGTGACACCTGATGGGGCATTTGTGACTTCAAACACCTGGCTGGTTCTTGTGGCCCTTTGTACCTCTGTCATCTGTCTTTGCTGTTGCATAGCCATCCTGGTCTATGCATGCTGTCGAAAGCAGCAGGGCCAGTATAAACCAGGACAGAGAGTCAGGATTCAGGCAAATTAAAAAATGTCACACATTCTGAGAACTCTTTGATAGTAAAAGTTGTAGAGATTGTAAGCTTTCAAGAGTATCATTTTCAGTTTTTTTTTTAAAGACCAGGGGAGTTTAGTTAAAAAAAAAAAAAGTAATTTCATAGGATGCATGCTCCTACCAACCCCTAAAAAAGGATGATGTTTGATAAACCTAACAGCTTTTCTTAGTTTGCATTTTTTGAATAATGTACCCTTTGCCAAAGTTCCAAAATTCTGACCCCTTTGTTAGCACTGTGCGAGCATTCTAAGTGCTGTACAAACATTGACTCATTGAATCCTTACAACTGAGTTATATTTTTCTTAACCATTATCCTGTATCAGATTTTACAGATGAGGAAACAGAGAAGAGCAGTGAAGTATCTTGCCTAAAGTCACACAGCTAGTAATGAAGCCAGAACTTAATAGGCAGTCTGGCTCAAAAGTCCATGCTCAAGATCAGTTAGATGAGAAGCCTCCATTTTCCCAATAAGCATGGAAAAAAGATACTAGGAGTAAAACATCCTATTTGTCTCCCATCAAGGTCTAATTATTGTCACCTGTGTTAATAAAATCTTCCAGTGATTTGAACAAAAAAAGAGTACTATTATAGTTACTAATCCATGAGCAAATGTATCCTGATTATTATACAGTTTACTGGTCAATTGGATTTCTTCTCAATCTTCATCCATCTTCATTTTCCAAAGCTGACATGCCTTTCAAAAATTATGGCTCTGAGATGGTGAATAGAGCTTGGGAGGCTGGGTTGACATCCCTCACTTGTATACATTGTTTCCCCAGCTGTAAATATTAGCTCCAGGTGTTTCAGCTCTGTCCAGATTTTACACCAGATCTACCCCACTAAATCTTACATTCAGGTTCTTAAGAGTAGAGAACTTAATTCAAGTCTCTAATGATCTTAAACTGTAGGACCTTAACCTCATCACTGAAAGCTTTTTAGTGTAACAGATATTAAGTCTGTTTATTAGCATAAAGGATACCAGGAAATGCTATTACAAGATTAATAATGTAGTACTTCTCGCAAATGTGAAAACAAATTGCCCAGTGGCTTAGATGTTTCTTTCCTGAAACTAATATAATATGTTAATTATATTTCAATTAAAATCTCACATACACAGAGATGTTACTTTTTCTTTACTTTCCAGGACTTCTCCAAATTGTTGATTTTGGGTGGGGAATAAGGTCTATTTCCTCTTTTAGTATAAGACAAGGAAGAAATACACAAAGTATCAGTGGAGTATTAGCCACAAATAAAAATCTGAATTAAAAAAAATTAATTGATCTTGCTAGTCATGATATTAAGTATCATAAATTTTATCAATTTCCTATTAGGGAAAAATCCCATATTATTTAGGGAGGATACCAAAATTGAAATTATCCTAAAAATATATTTAAAGAATTAATTCAGGAAATGGTCTTCAAAAATTAATTGTACAATGTTCTTCTAAAAGATCACTGACTTTGCTTTAAAATACATATAAATTGTTTAAAGGTGGCCCAGCAAACTAGGATGCTTAAAAGAAAGTTTTTCTCTTCCTTGGGTTTCTCAGTTTTTTCATTCCCTAAAATTATTATTTCATAGAAATGACCATAATTTGGGGAAGACATTATCTTTGTAAGAAAACAAACTGAATACTCTCTTGTTCAGCCTCTATCTCTGACCATGAGATAAACTGAGTAAACTTAAGACTGGAGAGGAAAGCAGAGTGAAGTCAGCCGTGAAGCAAAAACAACTGGGCCTGGAAACCATGTCCTTCTCGGAACCCAAAGGGACCAAACAGAACTTACGACCAGCAGCCCAAAGATTTTGCCATTGGGTGCCAATGCCGCAGCCTCAGTCTTCAGGCCAATTGCCTGGAGCTCACCAGACGGCAAAGGTTAGAAGGGTACAGCGCTCTGCAAGACTGCCCGCACTTCCAACACCGACTGAGCTCCAGCGGTGGGAGGAGGGGATTACCAAAACCGCCCTCACATCTCACAATTCACTAGAATCCACAGAACTCAATAAAAGCTGTTACACTCGTGATTATGGTTCATTATGGGGAAAGGATACAAATTAAAATCAGCCAAAGGAAGAAGAGGGCAAGATCAAGTCCAGGAGGGTTCCAGACTCAGACCTCCCGGTGTCCTCCCCGCTGGGGGCAGGACACATCCCTCCCCCAGGGTATGACACTGCCTAGAGGACAGCTGCCCACGCCTCAGTGTTGTTTTTGAGGCTCCAATAAATAGGTATGAGTGATTACCTGGGTGGTCGTCTCGGCTGCGGTGACTCAATGCCCCCACCCTAAATCACAGTTGGTTTTTCTGGCATCGCTAAGACTATCAAGTGTGGCCAGCCCCACCCTAAAATATACCGTGATGGCTCTTACCCTAAGCAAAGGACACTCTAATGAGGTATGACACAAACACCTCCCAGAAGCTGAGGGCAAAGGCCAGACCTCTCTTCGGGCGAGGTCCAACTTTTTATCGCATTACATTATCATTACTCGTCTGCTTTCATCTGCACTGTATTATTGCTACAGGACCCATGACTGTAATCTACCACCTCTTTACATGTTTGCAAATGATCATCTCTCCTCAGCTTGTTTTCAAATGTTTCCTTCTTCAATCTTGTCTCTACATGTGTTTTCCTTGAATCTGTAAGAAATATAACCTTCCAATATATTTAAAGTATGCTTTAAAATTGATCAAAAAATTCAGTTTTATCTACTTTCCTTTTCATTCACTATCTCCATACAATGGAATAGAACACACTTCTCTTTTTTTTCTCAAAGCCATACTGTTGTCCTTTATAGTCTACGGACTGTTGACCTTGCTGATACTAAATCATACCTTCAACTTAGTCAAACTTTTGGGCAATTGTTTTGAAACTTCTTTAGACTTTTATGTTCCCCAATTCTGTTAGGAAAGTAAGTTTAGATAAACTCAATTCCTTTATTTTGATTCAATCACTTGTTGACAACTTTGGAAGTGGCGATAAATGACTTAACAGATATACTTAAAAATACTGAATTGACAGCTAAATTGAATGTAATGTTCTTTAGGGCAGTTCTCATTTTGTCATTTACTCCAATTAAATTCAAGGTTCTTATAACTTGTTTCTTTCCTGAGCTGAAGAAGCTCTAACTGGTGAATCCAGAGATGAAAACAGCTCATCTCCATTTCCACTTTTCTGCAAGCTTGCGCTTACAGAAATGAGCCCCATGAGATAGAAGTAGAATGCTGAACAGAGTTGAGTCAACATACTGAGCCCAGAAAATACAGATGGTACAAACTTGATGGTTTAGAAAATATTCCCAAGGACCAAATTCTAATTAGAATCGGCATCTGTGAAAAATGTAAAGTTAAGTACATAAGGCACTGAACTGCACTCAGGGGACTGGGGTCTGGGTCTAAGTAACCAAAATCATTAGTCTCCAACTTACGAGGGTTCAACTTATAATTTTTAGACTTTACGGTGGTGTGAAAGTGATACTGTATACTTTGAATTTGCATCTTTTCCCGGCCTAGCAATAAGCAGTCTGATGCTCTCTCCCAAGATGCTGGGCAGTGGCAGTGAGCCAGCAGGTCCCAGTCAGCCACGTGACTGCAACAGTAAACGAGATGCACCCATTCTCTTTCTCACTTTCAGTAATCAGTGAATTACATGAGACCCTGGATACTTCATTATAAAAATAGGCTGTGGGTTAGAAGATTTTGCTTAAATGCAGGTTAATGTAAATGTTTTAAGCACATTTAAGGTAGGTCAAGTATATTAATTGATTTTGACTTAAGATTTGCAGCTTACAATGGGTTTAACTGGGAAGTAACTCCAATGTAGGTCAAGAAGATCCATATTTAAAAGCAATCGGTAAGCACTAAATTATAGGGAAAGAATGTAGCAGGTGATAAAATAACAACATATGTATATATATGAATATTAAAGTTAATGGTAGAGATAAAATCAAAACACTTCAGACCTAGAAGAAATCAGAGATCCTCTATCAGCCCAACTGCCCCAGTGTATAAGAAAACTGAATAATCATTGCCATTATATATTATATGAAAGGAATATTTTAATTCAGATATAAAACTTTTAACATTTTCAACTTTTTATTAGATTAGGTAATGATTACATATGAACCCTAAAATTAATATATCAAGCAGACTTCTCTTCATAAATCACACCAGATTCAACAGTCTCTTCACAGACTCTTTGTACTGGGAAAGGGTGTTTTCACTGTCCCCCTCATTTTTAAGATTAACAACAGACTCTCTGTAAGCTTCGACCTCTTTTGTACCAAGGAGCTCTTCTTTATTTACTTCCAGATTTTTCTCAGTAGCTTTAATTCGGAGAAGTGTTTCCAGGATATTTTTTTCTGAGGTGCTGTTTTTCCAGATAAATTCTTCCATGTCTGCTTCAGTCTTATTTTTTTCCCATTCTTCAGTTTTCTGAAAGGGAAAAAAATGAGTTCTGAATTCTGAGAATCATCCCAAGAGCACGTTTTGTTTCTGCAGGGGAAGAGGGTCTGCGACGTGGAGAGCCCTGGTCAGCGCTGCCCGCACCCTGCCTGCCTCGTCGTCCAGCGCGGCCACCACCTGCAGCTGCAGGCGACGCGTTCTATTATGCGAATGCCCCGTCACCACGAGGTCTACCCACATGACTCACACGTTATCTGCCTTGCAAACTTCACTTATAAAGTAATACTGCTTCCCCCAAAATACAGAAAACTCAATTGTCACAGCTTCCTAGTCCTTGAACTCTTAACATGTCAACACCTCACATTTCCGAGGTTAAAAATAATGAGTCGAGGGGAGACTGTATTATCTTTGTAACATGCCTGGGGGGATGTCAGGGAAGACGAGCTATTATGATAAAATTAAAAATAGGAAGTATGCGTGTTACACATGATTTTTAGATATAATTACTTCATACATTCTGGAATTTTGATGTTTGTTTTCCTTATTTTCTGTTCCAATAAGGGAAACAGTTTTTGTTACTGCTC